GCCTACTCATACAAATATGGAAAAATTCAACTATCACTCCTTTATCCCCTTATGTGAGCCTGGAATGACTGAAGCTCCTATTAAAGATCTACTAATAGTCTCGAATGCCTATTTATATGAATATCGACTAGGGTTTCTGAAGAGAAGTTCACCAATACAGTTCAGCTAGGCTTTGCTGACTCGCGTCTACATAACCCTGGATTCGTTTGAGCCTACCGTCCAAAATGTATCCGAGTTAGTATCAAAAACTGATGGCGTTTATTAACCACTATAATACACACAATGCAATGATCATCACTCACTTCCATAATTGCCGCGGTCTATCATGGTGGCTAGTCGGCGTGAAATTTCCTCACCAATCCGAAATTGTGAAGCCCATGTCGACTCACATGAGTTGAGCTGACTGTTGTCTCTCGATATGGTAGGTGCCACGCTCAATGAATGATCGGCTTCGACCTCAGCCTCCTCGACGCTGTCCTCATCACCCACAGTCTCTTCGGAGTCGTCATCACCACCATCAAGATCTGGATCCTTGAGAAGGTGCAAATCATCCAGAAGCCTCTCCCTGTATGCATAGAATGTGTGTTAAACAAAGAACAGAGATTGGCGCCTCGTTCACGGGGAAGATAAGGTTTGAGCTCAACGGATAACTAAAGACTAGATTTCATTTGCCGACAGTATAAAAAGTTTCAAGTCTACTTGAGTTCTCTGTGTCTAGACTGTCCAAAGTTACTAATTTCGGATGTCTTGTTTCGACCATTTTCGTCTTTACGGATTAGGGTTCGATTCCATGCCTTGTCTAAAATCAATATAAGAGCCAAAGTAACCAAGATGTAATTAGCTGGCTTTTACATTCACTAAAAATGTGATTTCCTTCAAGTTAGTTGCTGAGAATAGAGGGGAAGGCGCCACAGTTTCTGAGACATTCCAATTCTAACGGATTTGATCATAATCTGCTAAAAGTTATGATTTTTTAATAATTCAACCAGGCTGGCAAGTTCCCTAACCAGAACCACTTGAGGTTCCTGTCTTCACCGGGCGAATCAGACCTCTTTCGGCCTAAAATAAGAGTGAGTATTACAGTTTATCCAATTGATACGGTGGCTTGCATTTAAACTAACGAAATTACCTTAACTTCTGTAGGTACTGACGATTTTGCAAGTAAGGTCTCGAGGCTACCAGTAGATCTCGAATAAGAACTATGTTCAACCTATTTCGCTTAAGGTGATTAAGGATTGGTAGTTTAATTTTACCATAATCATATGAGTGGGTTTCATATTTCCATTGTATTTCAAGTAATCTTGCTTCCCAAAAGGTATTCGCACCCAAACTGAACTGCTGTTTCAGTCTTGCTTAGATCTTATCAACACCACCAAAGGGGCAGTAGATGATGCAAAGTTGTATTTGTTATTACAATCAACAACTTGTTTTTTGAAAGTAAGGTTTCATGAATACCAGTAGATTATATATATAACATGTATGCGCCCTATTTCATTTAAGATGATTTACTGGTAGTCTCGAAACCCTAGTTAAAAAAACTAAAAT